ATAAGTCATCTGAATTTACCAGAACACAGCTTAAATATATATCAAAGTAAAAAGACAACTGAGAAAAATGTTATTCTCACATGTGCTAAAAACAGTATTTCCAAAGCAATTTCATTTGTCATGGAGTATGTCAGGAAAAACTCCTAGTCAGCATTATAAAATTACAACTTCTAAAACAGCAAGATGAGAAAACACCAAACTACAATACCAGTATCTTCAAAGAAATCCCTATTTCTAGCCGGGCAAGGTAGCACACACCTTTAATCCCAGCACTTGGGAGGCAGAGGCAGGCAGATCTTTGTGAGTTCAAGGCCAGCCTGGTCTACAAAGCAAGTTCCAGGACAGCCAGGGCTGTTACACAGAGAAACTCTGTCTCGGGGTGGGGAGTGGGTGGGTGGGGAATCCCTATTTCTAAAAATGTCTAAACACTAGAGGTATAGCTCCAGACAACTTTTCAGGCCGTCAAACATGTACATAGCAAGGCAGCTCACCAAGGCGAGGGTGGAATTAATAAAACAAAGCTGGCACAGAATATATATGGAACTCCTTCCCAACCTATCACACCATTTGGGATATTATCCAGGCTCATGAAATTTAATATGGATTCAGAAAACAATATATAATCTAACTCCTCACACTTAAAAATCTATAAACTAATTCCTCACACTTAAAAACTAAATTTTAATCATGGTATGCCATGTAAAAAAAGTACTCTCAAGGGGAACTGGAGGGATGGCTCAAAGTTAAGAGCACTTGCTGCTCATACAGAGGACTAGAATTCAGTTCCCAGCACCCACATCAGGCAGCTTACAACTAACTACTTTTAACTCCAGCTCCAGGAGATCTGACACCTCTTCTGGCTTCCTTGGGCACCTACACTCATACATGAACAAGTGAACACACACACTCACAATTAAAATTAAAATGAATCTTTTTTAAAAGTAAAGTCAAACATTGCTTTAAAGATCTAAAGTCATCTGGCAATCACAATAATAACGTCCCTACACAAGAAAAGAACCAGCAACAGATGCTGAAACAGATGAAAGTACAACAAGGAAAGATGTGCAGCCTTAAACTATCTCTCCATAAAGTATTTATTCATCACAAAGGAGAAAACAGTAGTTGTACAGTGCAGAAACTCAGCGGTATCACCCTCATCAAAGTAAAACCATCAAAAAGTGGCACAAAGAGATAGATAGCATGTGCCTCTGCAGAGCCTGAGAAGGCCCCAAGGTTACTGCTGTGACTCATCATGGGGAAATACTAGACAAAACAAAATTGAGGGGTGTGTGCTACTTGGCTTCTCCTCAAAAACAAGGTCTTGAAAAAATAAGGACAGAGCAGCCATTCTAGATCAAAGGAACATTGCAACAGAATGTAGTGTTAGAGAATAGGAAATGCCTTTGCTAGTATGGACAGTAATGCAAATTTAAATAAAGTTACAAATTTTGTAGGTTTCCCTTAAAAATTGAAATGTCTTTATGTGCACACCCACATCACTTCTCCCCTTCTACGTTGATGCTATCCAACGCAGGTTCCCGACTGAGCCAACTTGTTGGCACATTTTTTTTTCTTACTAACATCTTTATATGTGTGTATGGTGTGTGTATGGGGTCATTCAGTGTGTGACGATGAGAAGACAAATTACAAAGTTAGTTCTCTCCTCTCACCTTCACATAGATTCCTGTGATCAAGCTCTGGCTGCTACACTTGTATAATAAGCACCATTTCCCACCAAGCCATCTTTCTGGCCTCAAATTGCACAACTTCCTTAATAGCAAATAAAATAATTAACTCTGCTAAAAGGAACTCAGAACCTGCAATAAAACAGATGCTTCTCTGCAAAATTCCCTGGTTTCAGGTAGAAGAGGTAATTTTCTTATCTGTCTTATCTTTTCCTTAACAAGACAAAAAGTTAGAGACAACTGACTGATGGAAGGGGTCTGCTGTGGCAGCTACCTTTGTAGTTGGAAGAGGTCATAGTACACAAAACAGGATGAAATTAAAAAGGCAAGAGAGCACAAGTTTGAGTCCTGTAGTCCTGAAGAGTGCAATGAAGACAGACGTAGCATTTCTAAAAATCAGCAAGCAATCACAAACTATAGTCCTGCTGGTTTTTCTTAAGTTGTGTCTTGGGCTTTACTACAAACTACCAGCAAACCCAAACCAGCAACCCAAACCAATACGAAACAGCCCTGGAATCTTTCAAGCCATTCGAGAGACTCCTGGTCAACAACTAGCACAGGGTGAGATACTTCCTCAGTAGAGAGACAGTTAAGCTCCAGCTCCCTCAAAGGTTTCATTCCTGATCCACAGTAGGCTGCCACTAGCTTCTACACCCAATTTAGGAAGGGTGTAACCCACTGACTGACTATTAGTGCCCTGTGTGCTTTCCAGTCTCGAAAGCCTCCCTAGATTCTACTGTTCCCTAGTCCCACCCCGATGTCCTCCTCTATCTGAATCCTTAGAGCTATGGCAGACATCTAACACCTGAGGTCCTGTCCAAGCCCACAAGCACTGATCCTCCCCACCATTTCCTCATGTTTCTATGGCCACCCTGTCAAAATCTGCAGATGACATTCACTAATTGGTATAATCTTGTTATCTCAGCAGTTAACTATACTTTTAAGAAACTAAGTCACTACTTACAACTGCACACCTATGGCTGTGTTCCAAGGACCACACTACCACTACCCCCCCCACACACACACACACACACACACGTTTGTTGAGTGAAAGCACAGATTGACATATAGGGGATCTTACTCATACTGAAGAAGCCATAGATAACCAACAGCTAACAGGAAATCCTTCTGAACTTGGGGCGCAATTTAATACATCTTCAAGTTCATTTTATTAAATGAACTTTATCTTTACCCTTCAAAATTGTGATAAAATACTATTATATCCAACAAGAGCTACATTTAATCAAAATATGACACTTTTGTTTTTTTATAAGGTAGAGCAATTGTCAAACTGTAGGCATATGAAGCATTCCAAGATGGGAAGAGTAGAATACTTTATAAGAAAAAAGCAAATACAAGTATATTTCAGCAAGGTAACCATGTCAAAGCTTTGATGGCTATGCTGAGTCATAGCATCCTCACAAATTAAAAACATACCAAATGTCCGACATGCATTTATTTTTTTTCTTAAATGAGGTAGCAATTCTATTTCTGGGTATATACACAAGGAAGTTCAAACAGGGATTCAAACAGATGCTGGTATACTCATGTTTACAGTAGCAAGTCTATGTTAAACTGTGGAGTACTGTCTTCCAGCAATTAAATGTACAAACAATGGCACAAATAACTGCAAATGAGACAGAGTATCAATCAGTCTTGAAATGGAGGAAAATTCTGACACACACTACAACACAATGATCTCTAAACCTGTTATGCCAGTATGAAGCATCTACAGATATGCTGAATGCAGAGGCAAAGGTATGCTATCGAAGCAGAGTAAAGAGGAAACTGCAGAGTAACAATTTAAGTTGTAGAGTTTCCGTTTTGCAAAAAATTCTGGAGATGAGTAGTGGGAGACTCTGCACAACAGTTTGAGTGTGTTCAATGCAACTCAGTTACACACTCAAATGGCTACAAGCATAAATTCTACTGTACTTTACCACAATAGAGCAATTCACAAAATGTGAAGAGTTTGTTTTGTTTGAAATAGGGTCTCACCCTGTAACCTAGGCTGGCTTTGAAGTCATAGTAATCTTTTTGCCTCAGCTTCCCAAGTACTTGGATTACAAGCATGCACCACCATACCCAGTTTAAAACATCAACTTAATTTTTGGTTTTTCAAAGCCATATAACTCTCATTCATGCTATTTCTAGCCAATGCCCTTAATACCCACAGCTCTGTAATTTCTTTTATATTAGCCACTAATACACATGTATAAACATTATACACAGAAATATTTGATGTGACCAATTCTTTTTAAAGACTTAAAGTCAATTTTGAAATTCTTAAGTGTCTTAGGTGATTTTGGAATCATCAGCCTTCAGCCTTTCTTTTGAATTTGTTTACTCCATACACCAAAATCCAAAAGATTTTTAAGGCCCACAGACAAAAATTCACACACAAAAAAATTTACAATAAAAAGAAAAAATGATGTGTTTTTTTCTTTCTTTTTTTTTTTTTTTTAGACAACGGATATGGAAGAATGCAACAGTATTTCCACAGAATAATTGATGGAAATAGAACTTTCTAATTTCAGACTGGGAAAAAGAAAAAAAAACAAAACAAAAAGCCTGCAAGTGAGTTAGAACACTAGAAAGGGCCAGCAATTTTCATGAATGAACTCTGATGCATTTTATGTAACTAAACACCAAGGAGTATTACAGGTTAAGACTATAGGGAATTGGGTACTAAAAATAAAAACTAGAATATGGATTTTCATGTTTTTAGTCTATAAAGAGAAAGGAACTATAGAACAGGAAAATATATCAACTATGAGTGATAGGTCTACAGGAACCCCACCTCCAAGGGTGAGTCAGAAGTATCTTGTGACCTGCAGTTGGATATTAAATGTATCTATTTAATTTTACACTGCAAACTATGGGAGAATTAGCTGAAAACCTGTAGGACTGAGCAATATGTACAGAATCTACAATAAAAGACTGTAAACCAGGACTAAGAAAAGGCTGCAAAGTGTGACTGCAGAACACACAGATGCCCTCGTGAGGATCAACTAAGGCAGACAAAAAGGAAAAATGAAGGCACCCTTCTAATCATACCTGAAGAGCAACACCAACCTCAAACAAAATAAAGAAAGAGAAAAGAAAAAAAATAAACAACAACAACAACAAAAAAAACTTGCTGAAGCCAGGTAAAACTAGGGTCAAATATCAATTATGCATAATATTCAGCCTAAGTTTTAGGCCAGAATAAATTTAAAGCATTAAAGTCAGCACAAAACCTATCAATTCAAAATAAACAGTAGAAAGGGAGAGAAAAATAAGGGCAAAAAGAAAATCAGAATCAGTCTCACTTACCTCTCGAGTAGCTAGCTGGTTGCTGAGCTCTTCAGCCTTCTCAACATCCCACTCCTCCACAGCCTGGTCTATCCTCTTTTCAAGGCCTGACTAGAAAGAAAGAAAAAAACAAGACAAAACAAATTATTGGCAAGACAGAAAGTCAATCACTTGCTAATTAAGACTATGTCACAGGACTATAGCAAATGCAACATCCATTCAGTCCTCTCAATAACCCTATAAAGGCTTACATCAATTCCTATTTATCGATAAGACACTTCCAAAACTTTCTTAGCCTCTTTAGCAGTGCTTTATTTCCTAATCTCTGGCTACAAGTGCCATCTTACTAATGTTCCTAGTGCCTCTGATATACCTTAAAAAAATAAAACAACAGCAACAAAAAACCTTTCCCATCTTTTCAGGTTCACATCAGATATTACCCTCTCTAGTACCCTACCTTCTGACTGTGCCACCTTTTCTTATATCCCACACCAGATTTCTCTCCTGTCTGCATCATTAAACTTCATGTCTCCCTGTAGCACTTGTTCTTCTAACACAGTTTTTTTTCCTTTCTTGGGTACTATGCTCAATAAAGGCAAACTCTTATGTATAGTCACTGGCTTGGAGTATCCCAAAATCCCACCCAGTTCCTTCCACACAGGAGGAATTCACTCAGTCTATACAACTGCATTGAAAGTTTCAGTGCAATAATCCATATCTGCATTAAGACTGAAGGAACCAAAGTACACTGGCAGCCCCTGATAAGAATTCCACAATAGTAACACTGAGGTAATGATGCCCTTCCAGTCAAAAGGGATAACATACTGTCATGATTATTTATACAAATTTATCTGCAACAAATAAAAAATGTATTTCTTGGGGCTCAGCAGTTAGAACACTGCTGCACTTCCAAGGGACCCAAGATCAGATCTCAGCACCAACAATGAACACCTCACAACCACCTGGAACTCCAGTTCCAGAGGATTTGACACTTCTTCTGGCTTCTGTATTTCTTTGGGGCTCAAGAGTATCTTTATCTTGAGCTCCCAGAGCAATACAATTAGAAGTTTATAGATTCTCCATTTAGAACTTCATATTTAATCTATAATGGAAATGAAGTTATTTATTTACAAAATGCTAACACAATAGTCTTTACTCCCTTTGCAGAACAGAGATTTCCTCAAATGCCTCTGAGACAGATGAAGTAAACATTAATACCAAATTCAATTTTCTTATATCACAAAGTATGAAGTAGCCAGATACCTCAATTCAGTATTTACACAAGCAATCACCTAGACCAGCTTCACTTGTTCCCCTTAGTAACCTGTCCACTAATCCTCTCTTAAGACATGTATGTTATACACAGCAGCTGTGCTCCCTTCCAATTATCAAGGCTCCTTGAGATTTTAAAGACCTGGGTGTTGCCTTCCTGTATACAGTGTCCAGAGTAACCCATAGATCCTCAAACCTGGGTTAGTCCACACAATGAACCATTCTACTGAATCAACTTATTAACGTCCCTCTGGTGCATAGAGCTATAGCTCAGCACTGATGTCACAAAGGGAAGGAAAAACTCCCCCATTCCAGAAACTCCTATGAACTGCTAAGCTTAAATAAAGGTAAAGTTTCACTTTAAAATTAAATCAGAATGGGGGATATCTCTTAGTAATATTGCCTCGAGTACAGGAAATCCTAGGTTTGATTTCTAGCACTGCATCAAATCTGGTGTAGAGGTAACACACACGTGTAATCCCAGCATTTGGGAGGTGGATACAGGAAGATCAGAAGTTCAAGGTCCTTGAAGGTCCTGATGGTGCACGCCTTTAATCCCAGCAAAGGGAGGCAAGGTGAGCATATCTCTGTGAGTTCAAAGCCAGCCTGGTCTACACAGTGAGTTTGTTTTCTTTTCTTTTTTAAATATAATGCTTTTGTCTTTTTCTTCTTTTCTTTTTTCAGTTTTGTTTTGAGACAGGGTCTCACACTGTACCCCAGGATGGCTGGGAACTTCTGGCACTCCTCATGCCTCAACCTCCACAGTACTGAGTTTATAGGCTTAATCTATGTAAGATGCCTAGCTCTGAAAATTTTTTATTCTATTTTGTATTTAATAAGGACATATTAGCATCCTGCTATGGGATGCCTTTCTGTATGCTGTAAATACATGTTGTTTCCATTGGTTAATAAATAAAGCTGCACTGGGCTATGGCAGGGCAGGATGGAACCAGGAGGGAAATCCAAATGAGATAGAGAAGAAAGGCAGAGTGAGGGCAAATGCTCCAAGTAGCCACCAGGAGAAGCAAGATATGAGAGAACAGTTAATTGTTTGGGAGGAGTCTGTTGGAGGATCCACCTGGGCTCCCTTCCCCTATCTCTTTCCCTAAACCCACCCCTTCAAAGCCCGCCAAACACAGCTCCTCCCCCAGAGAGGCTCAGGATGACTCGCACAGGGGATACATAAGCAGCATCCTGGAAAACAGACTTGTGGTTCTTCCAGTCTCACGTCTCTGTCTCCGAGGCCGGGAATCGCCTGGGGAGCACTTTACCCATTAAACCTGGGCTTTCCAATTTGGTCTGATTCAGTTTGTTGCAATGGCAGAGAGGCCTTCAGGAGGCCAAAACTTATCAGTAATGCCACACACAAAGTCACATGGCACAACATAGATTAATAAGATGGGTTGAATTAAGTTGTAAGAGCCAGTCAGTTATAAGCCTGAGCAACAGGCCAAACAGTTTATAATTAATATAAGCCTCTGTGTGATTATTTGGGACTGAATGGCTATGGGACCAGGCGGGGCAGAAACTTCTGTCTAGAGCTTTCCAAATACATTCAAAATTCTTGTATTATAAACACTCCCATCACCATAAGAAGACAAGTTCACAAGATTCTGCCAAGAACACTGCTGAAAAAGTAAAATGAAGTAGAACTTCCACTTAGGAACTGAGCAATCTGGGGAGGGTCTCTACACTTGTATGGCTGTAGTTCTCTCATTGAAGCCAAGTAAATATAAAGCTATGCTCTCTACAAAGTGATGACTAGGGTCAAGAAAATAATTACGGCCGGGCGGTGGTGGCGCACGCCTTTAATCCCAGCACTCGGGAGGCAGAGGCAGGCGGATCTCTGTGAGTTCGAGGCCAGCCTGGACTACCAAG